ACTCCAGCCTGGGCAACAGGGTGAGACTTCATCTCAAAAAAAAAAAAAAAATTATAGATGAAAAGAAACATTTTTAAAATTACTAGAGACCTTAATATTTAAAATAAACGTATAATTTGTCATTTTCCTTTATAAAGTAAAAAATAATTTACTATTCTGTATTAGTCTGTTTTCATGCTGCTGACAAAGACATACCTGAGACTGGGTAATTTATGTAGGATAAAGGTTTAATTAATAACTTACAGTTCCACGTGGCTGGGGAGGCCTCACAATCATGGCAGAAGGCAAGGAGGATCAAGTCGCATCTTATGTGGATGTTGGCAGGCAAAAAGAGGGAGCTTATGCAAGGAAAACTCTTGTTTCTAAAACCATCAAATCTTATGAGACTCATTCACTATCATGAGAACAGCCTGGGAAAGACCTGCCCCATGATTCAATCACCTCCCACCAGGGTCCTCCCATGACACGTGGGAATTGTGGGAATTACAATTCAAGATGAGATCTGGGACACAGCCAAACCATATCATATTCCTTCATTTTTAAGGTTTTATTTTTATTTATTTATTTTATTTTATTTTTATTATTATAAATATATGTCTTCTGTTTTACTTTTTTCAATTTTTATTTTAGAATTGCATGCAGGTTTGTTACAAAGGTATACTGTATGATGCTGAGGTTTGGAGCATGAATGAATCCGTAACCCAAGTAGTGAGCATAGTATGCCAATAGGTAGTTTATTTCAACCCTTAGCGCCCTCTCTCCCACTCCTCTCTTGTATTCCCCAGTATCTGTTGTTCCCATTTTTATGTCCATGTTTACCCAATTTTTAGTTCCCACTTATAAGTGAGAACATGGGGTATTTGGTTTTCTGTTTCTTCATTAGTTCACTTAAGATAATGGTTTCCAGCTGCATCTATGTTGGAGCAGAGGACATTATTTCATTCTTTTTGATGATTGCATAGTATTCCATGGTATATATGTACCACTTTTGCTTTATCCAGTCCACCATTGATGGGCACTTGGGTTGATTTCATGTCTTTACTATTGTGAATAGCACTGAAATGAACACATAGGTGTATGTGTCTTTTTGGTAGAATAATTTATTTTCCTTTGGATATATACCTACTAGTGGGACTGCTGGGTTGAATAGTAAGTTCAGCTATCACTTCATTGAGAAATCTCCAAATTGCTCTCCACAGTGGCTGAACTGATTTACATTCCCATTAACTGATTAAGTGTTCCCTTTTCTCCTTGGCCTCAACAACACCGGTTTTTTGTTTTGTTTTGTTTTGTTTTTTGGCTTTTTAACAAAAGCTGATTACTGTGAGATGATATTTCATTGTGGTTTTGATTTACATTTCTCTGATTGGTGATGATGAGGATTTTTTCATATGTTAGTTGGCATCTTGTATGTCTTCTTTTAAGAAGTATCTATCTTGTATGTCTTCTTTTAAGAAGTATCTGTTCATGTCCTTTGCCCCTTTTTTTAATGGTTTATTTGTTTTTTGTTTTTTGTTTTTTTGTTTTGTTTTGTTTTGTTTATTTTGCTTGTTGATTTGTTTACATTCCTTATAGATTCTGGATATTAGACCTTTGACAGATGCACAGTTTGTGAATATTTTATCCCTTTCTGTAGGTTGTCTGTTTACTCCCTTGATAGTTTCTTTTGCTGTGTAGAAGTTCTCTAGTTTAATTAGGTCTCATTT